CTTTAAAGTAAAAGTGCCACTCCAGTGGTACAATTGTTCTTATACACATCAACAGAAGAACACTTTGGGGGCTAACCCATTATCTGGGCAAAAGTAACTATGGGGTATAAAACCCCCGTTTCTTTCTGTAAGAAACCAGTATGCCAGAAAAACAGAGGCATAGCAGAGTACTGAACTCTAGTTGGCACAAGTTTGCCCCCCCCATTAATTATATACATTTAGGAAGGAAGAAACGTGCTGAAGTTACATACAATGAACTGAAAGCCATATTTTAAGTTATGATATACTGTCAGATTGTATCTACTCTAGAGGAAAATTCACTGTACCCATGCTCAGAGTCTTGAATACTGTATACATTTCTGATAGATATAACATGGAAATTAAAACAGGATTTCATGAAAAGCCTGGTGACCTGATATGACCTGTAATAGCAAAGGGGGAGAGAAGAAATTACTGCTGGAAAGGCATGAAAATCCCCACAGAGTCACAGGTACTAAGAGATGGGTGAAGCTGCCAGCTTAGAAATTCAGGGTTTATATAATATGCTTCTTCATTTATTACTTGTTTATCCCACCTTTCATCCAAGGAACTCAGGGCAGTGTACATGCCCTTCCATTTTATCCTCACAACAATCCTGTGAGATAGGTTACACTTAAAGATATGCTTGATCTAAGTGAACTTCATGGTAGTATGGTGATATGATGGAAGGAAGGATTTTCTAAGTGCTACCAAAAATGCCAAAGTAAATGAGCTGGATTTGAGTCCAGTAGTACCTTAGAGACCAACAAGATTTGGGGGGGGATGTATAAACTTTCCAGAGTAAAAACTCCCTTCATCAGATACAAGTCGGAATGGAGATCTCTGAGTCCTTATATCCCAGTTAGAAGGTTGGAAGGGGTGTTGTAAAGAAGGAAATCAGGATGCAGAGGTACAATGCACATAGTAATTAGCTTGATTAGAGCACAGGTAAAATACATGCAGACAGATAATTAGCATCTGTAGTGAAAAATCCTATGTCCCTATTCAGCCAGGGGGGGGTCCATTGTTCTGAATTTAGGAATGAACGCAAGTTCAGCAATCTCATGTTGTAATCTCCCCTTGAAACCTTAGGTCAGCAATGGAACCACCTGAAAGGTTAAAATGTTCCCCCACTGGTTTTTGAGTGTTGTGGGTTTCAATGTTGGATTTATGTCCATTTATTCTTTTGTGTAGGGACCGACCTGCTGTATCGCGGGCGCGCAGTGGCTGTCCGCGGACACATCACCTGTTTGTCCGATGTAGAAGAACTGATGGACATTGTTGGCATTTGATAGCATATCCAACAATGGAAGATGAACAAGTGAATAAACCTGAGAAGGCATGGCTGGTGTTATTAGGTCTGGTGGTTGTGTCATCAGAGTGAATATGGGGATAGAGTTGGTATCTTGGCTTGCTGTAGGCCCTGGTCCCAGAGTCTGTGTCCATGTTAAAAAAGGCATTGTTGTGGGTGAGAAGTTGTTTAAAGTTAGGAGGCTGTCTATGGACAAGAAAAAGTTTGCCTCCCAATGCCTGTGAAAGAAGAGTATCATTGTCCAGCATAGGTTGTAAGTCATTAATGATCTGTTGAACTGGTTTGAGCTGAGAGATGTATGTGACCACCAAGTGGTGTTATGTTGTTGTTACGTTTGGGCCTACCTTGTAGGAGGCTGTCCTTGGTATCAAAGTGGATGATGTACCCTTTCTCTTACTCATTACTGTACGTAGAGAGAAAAATGTTAACATTCACACAATGGCTTTATGTCCACATGAGACTTGGGAGTTCTTAGAGCAGTGCTTATGCCTGTTGAAAAATTGCAGGCAGAATAAAAGCCCTCCCTTTCATGCTGATTATTAGCAATTTGCACCAACTCAAAGCTCAGAGATCCCTAGCTTACTTACATAATATGCTGATCCAGAAAAGGATCTATCCACATCTAACACAGGCAAATACACAATGTGTGCAAAAGATGTGAGATTTGTAAACTCAGGAATCTCCATTCTTTTCTGTTTCAGACTCTTGTGACAAAACTGTCCTGCCATAAGGACAGCAAAATGAATAACCAAAACACAGGACTGGGACATTCAGTCATCTGACACTTTTGCCAGCCAGACCTTTTTCAGATGTCTACATCAGAGCTGTGATGAATACCCACAGCAGCACCACCTAGGGGCTGAGATTTCTACATGCAGCTCTGTACAGCACAGGTGTTTGCTGAAGTCTTTGCCTTGCTCATTTCTGCAAAGCTAGGCTGAGAAATCTGAAAATGCTAGATTGCCAGGTAGTTTTGTACATATCTCAAAAATGTTCACAGGAAAGTATTTTCATGTACATCTCAACTGTCTGCAACCATTTAGGCTACACTTACAGACCAAATGACTTATGTTTATTAATATGCCTATATTGTTTTATGGGTTAACAAACTCAAAGACAGGTCTCTGACTCAAGAAGTTTACAATCCAAATCTCAACAGTAGAGAATGAAATAAAGGCAACAGGGAGGGGAAAAGAAAGAAATAGGAAAGTGTGAACCAGCTGGGAGAGAAGAGGAATTTTAAAGAAAGATGCAAATACTCTGGCTTGGTTTCTCTTGGGAGAAAATATCCCCCTTTCTGTTATCTGCCAAAATACGAGGCATGCCTTCTGTATTCCTGAAGATAATATCAAAACTACACCATAAATATGACCATTGAGACATAGAATACCTCAGAATCTTAGGCAGGTTTTTGTGACCACATTAAATCCTTCTGTGTGCTAACTTGAAAATATTTTCTGGTGCCCCTACTGAGCATTTATAAACCAATCCCCCAAAGCGGCAAGCTGGTTGTCAGACAGGACGTTTATGAGGTCTTATGAAATCAGTGCAGGCAAAGCAGAAGTGCAAGTGCATGTTGTTTTCAACTTATTTATATGGTTTTAATGTTATAAGTTGCCATGGAACACTGAGTGAGTGACGACTTTAAAAAAAACAAAGCAAACAAGCAAGCAGTAATTTTCCTTGAGCCAAAATTATAGTTGAAATTCAGAAGATGGTTTCATTGGCCCTTATGGAACAGCAACCTAGGCTTTGGCTTGTTCTCAGTTGGTGAATTCAGACCCTTCAGGCAGAGCCAACGAAGAGCCAAGTCCAAATCCACCAATACAAGAATAAGCAGATAAGTTTCACCTAAAAGAATTTCAGAGATGGAAAACAATAAAAGGCAGCTGCATTTCTTAGCCAATGAAGGGTTTAAATTGAGACTGACCACCCTTTGGACTAAAAGACTTTACAAAGTAATGCTCTCACAAAAGGTGTCTTTATATATTTTACAGATGCTTTTGAATAACAGTTTACATTTTTGTTATAGGGACACAACAGGTCACTTAAGAGTTATAATGTATTTTTAAAACAAATTTTTGGGAGAAAGAAGAACCAAGGGATATGTACTGAACAAGTCCTGTTAACCAAGAAGCTTCCCTGTACACATGAAATACAATGGCCCAGTACTATACTTTGATGTAAAGGATCACGTACTAGATGTCAAGTTCCAGCTCTCAGAGACATCATGTCCTTTTGCTGTGAAGCTAGATACTGTTTCTGTACTTTGCCTGTAGTTGCAACTACCTGCTATCATGGCAGGGGTGGGCAGAAGAATTGGAAGGTTATGAAACGGAGTTACTAATGCCTTCTAATATGGCACCCTGAAATTCCCCAGAAACATAAGACAAGTGGAGTATAGCTGGACAACCCTCCATGTGCCTGCTCTGCATAAGATGCTGCTTTGGTTAATAAAACGCAATCCCTGTGGTACAGTCACAGTGCTGTGCCTGGGTTAGAGTCAGCTGGCACACAGCTGAATATACTGTTAATGTAACTCTAATATTAAGAATACCTTGCCATTATCACCCATTATCAAGGACTGTTTTTAAAATGCATGTTTGCCTCCGAGCAACTGGTTATATGATAAGCAGCAAATAATTCTATCCAGTCTCCCATCCTCAACTGAATAATTCCTGTATGCTTTTATAATGCAACCTATTCAAGGCACTCAGCAAAGTTTCACAGTGGTGAGACATTATACATCAATGCTATAATCAGGGCAGCTCCCTGGATTATGGTGGTGCACTTAAGAGTACAGTAAGACTTTAATTAAAATGTAGTCTGAGCATCCTTTCCTAAGTATTAATGCCTAGCAAGCCATTTATGCTTAAACAATTAGCACGCTACAGGAAGAAACATAATTCTGTCACAAGTATCCATTTTGTATTATTTTATTAGAGGAAAAGTTATTAAGAATGGAAGAATATTTAAAATTCCTGGGAGCAAAAATAGATTTTAAGTATCTGAGAAACAAATACATGTGATTTTTCTTCCTCCAAAGCACATACATGGCCTTCTCAGCATGTCTTTTGAAAATTAATTAAGGTACATTTTAATATTTTGACCAAAACTTGGAGATCTCTTTCAAACCAATTAACTGGCTCACAAAAACTAAGATGGGCTTGCTTCATTTTACCCGCAAAAATGTTTGTGATGAAAATCAATAGGCTACAATAGGTTATCTGCAACTTGAAAAGAGAATGCTAATGAATGAGGCCAGGCCCTCTGGTGCAATTAAACCTATACACTGAATGAAAAATGGTATGTAATGTAACACCAGACTGGTTAAACAATTAAAGAGATACAGCAACAAAATTAAAAGCTCTCTGGTCCACCAGATGCAAGGACTCTCTGGTTAACCAGACTCAATGAATCTGCCATACTTGTTCACAACCAAATATATTAAAATATCATCCACACTGGTTTGAAAAGTAGTCACTTTCCTCCCTGAAAATACTTGGCAATGCAACCCCCTATTTAAATACTTAGACCCAGTGAGCAACTTTCCCCCTTTTCTGTATAAAACTATCAGGCAGCAATGCTCTCTTTCCTTGTGCACAACCTAGCGGCTTGGGACTCCATGGTTAAACTACCAGACAACTAGTGCCTTTGGGTAAGGCCTCACCTCTGGGTCCTGTAATGACAGGTCGATGATGCTGTGTGAATGCCGTTCCGAGGGAGGAGGTCTGCGAAGGCGAGGGACTGCTGAAACCAGACTTCTCTGACTTCTTTAATGTAGTTGGTGATGGCATCCCTGGCAAGAATGATTGATAAGTGCAATTTAATAATACTAGGTCATGGAACAACAGCCTATGCATTGTGAAAGTGGGTGCGAAAGCAGATAGATAAACTTAAAGGACAAATTAAATTGCATACAACAGCAAGCTTGAAGGCTCACTTTTATTTATGATTGTCTTTGGGGGCAAAAGGTGACCAAAGTTGGCTTAAATGAATATATATTTAAAGCACAGCCATAATGCCTTTTAAAAACTTCTGAGTGCAACTTGTTGGCATGTTACTACTAATGTTATGTTATTCAATTGGATCTTGTATGATTTATCAGCCTATAATAGATGCAGAACTCACACTTTTGCATCTTTAAGGGATCCCAAGATATATCTTTAAGACATTTAGCCTGCACTCTCTGTATGGAGAAGTTCAGAATTCTGGACTCCAGAGACTTATCAGCCTATAATAGATGCAGAACTCACATTTTTGCATCTTTAAGGGATCTCAAGATATATCTTTAAGAAATTTAGCCTGCACTCTCTGTCTCTGGAGTCCAGAACTACAAGAATGGTCCTTCACCATATTGCCAGTGTTGCTGCTCCTGTTAATGCCTCTGAATGAGACTGAGGAGCAATAAACCACACTTCAGAAGAAAGGGATGGGTAATATGTACTGTAAGTGTTTGGCTAACTGGAGTAGGGAGACTAACTGGGTTGAAGAGTTCCATATGTTTCAGCATTAATAAACTTTTGAGTGAAAGTCTCCTCTTTGATGTTTTACTGTAAGTAAACTCAGTGGAAGAAATGTTTGTTTAGAACCTTTTAACGTATGATATATATCATATTTCACAAATATCATAGTTTTCTTTATTAAATAACAACTGAAAGACATTTCTCCGTAAAAACATTCTGGTAATATTAGCACCACCCTCCTGTGCAAATACAGTAATTAATCATTTTATTTTAAATAACTAAAGTTTTAAAAATGTATAGATTAGATGCTTACAACAGGACAGTGGAGAGGTGCAGAGAGGTCTGCTCACACCATGTTAGGTTCCTGGACCAAAAGTTTCCTTAAACTTAAGCCAGAAGTGAGTGAGCTAGTCAAAAGCCACGACAGTTACCCAGTGCTCTTCCAATGGAGCATTAATGCATGCAAGGGAGCATTAATGCATGCATGCATTAATGCATCAACCTCTCTCATATTGTTCTCTGTAAGGGCTTCTTAACTGGTTAAGCCATTAAATGTCAACATGGCTGGAATTCAGTCACAAACAATGAGAGCTGATGCAGCAGAGTGGCTAAGAAAGTGAGCTAGAAATTCCTTGATTCATCTCCTACCACAATGGTGGCCTCAACTCACTAACTGCAACACAGGGATCATAATATTGGCTTATCTTGCAGGGCTGTTGTAATGATTAATAATGTATGTGGAGTGATTTGACCCTTTCAAATGTTTGTATAAACACCAGTTATTAAATACTACAAGTTTAATCTGATCTCCTATTGTATGTATATATGTATGCCAATAAAGGCTTGTCAAAGTAAAAGTAACGTAAATACTACAAGTATTAAAAATACTAGGCCCTCTTGAACACATTAAGTATACATTTTAAACGGCATTTAACAAGGCTATAATTGTATAATTTATAATCCTTGTTTCCCTGTTCAGTAACAACCTGGTAATTAAATGTACATGGTGGTACCCATTAGATTCCAAAAAATGACTGTTTTCTAATTGCTATGAAGATGGGCTTTTTATTTGCATGCTACAGAGGAATTGTGACTGAAGCACAAATGGAACCAGTTGTTATTTTCTGAAAGCATATTTTGTCCTTTAAGAAGGGAAAGGAATAGTGGGCAAGTTAGGGACTGCAAAACATCATTCACATTTTATGGCACATTAGCATGGTATTTGGTCTGAGCAGCAGAACAGAAACATTCTCTGAATGGGTTAGTAAAAGTATGAAGATAGCCTGCATGCAAAAATAAAAGTTCTTGGAACAAGCCAAATAAACCTCATGCTTTTAAAATGATAAAAGCCAGGTGACATTATTTTTAAGACTGTAAGGAATGAACATTTTAGCAATTAAAAAATAAAACCAAAACTCACTCTAGTACAACACATGTGGTTAATATTCTTGAAATATACTGCTTGCTTCTACCATACCTCCTTCAATTTACATACAACAACATTTTTTAAAGGTGGCCAACTTTATTGTGACTGGTTTTGTGTCTTAGCCTACACCAATTAAACAGCCATCAGTGTCTGGGATACTGCAGTAGTAACTACCAGAGGGAGAACTCATAGATGGGATTAGCATTTTGAGTACTTGGCATCTCTGAAAATAAATCTGTTTGAAAATCCCATTGAATTGAAGACATTTGCACTGCTTAGGATGCTTGAAGGATGAAATGTAAATCACTAGAAAACTTATTCTAAGCTCTAGTGCTGTGTAACGAAGCACAAGATTACACACAAATGGTGGAGGGAAACACTTTCTTCCATTTCTCTGGCCCTCGAAAACCTTTCTGTTAATAATAATGGATACTGTCACAGGGCAATCCTAAAAACACTTTCCTGGGAGTAAGCTTCACTGAACTGAGCTGAGTAGGATTCTGAGAAGACCTGTTTCGGATTGCACTGTCAGAGGCTAGAGAAGGTAAGATGGTATAGAAAGACAGATAGATGCCCATACTCGCTAAAGCCCCTGTCCTATGGGTCAAGCACGGGCCTATTATCCTAAAGAATTTATACAGTTTGCGCAGGCAATTTTTCAGCTGGAGAGGTTTTAAAATCAAATGCCCTGACACTGTTGCATGGCAGCAGGCACTGTTTTAGAAACTGTAATGCAGGCCACTCTGGGTAATAGGTTCAGATGGTCTCTATGGATTTAAATAATTATGCCACTTACTTACTTTTAAGTCTCTCAGTGTAGACAGAAGAAACAAATTAGGAATACAAAGGCCGGGGTCACATGGAAGGTTTTGGCCTGGGAGAGGGATGGATCGGGGGCGCAGCAAACGGGCGTGATCTCACAGCAACATCTGGGAAGCACCCGTCCCCGATCCGGCCCTTGAGGCCGAAAACCCGCAGTAAAAAAGAACCACCCCCAGAGGAGGACTTACCGGGAATGCCGCATCAAGCGCGACCGTGGGATCACCGGTGCGCCCGCTGTCCGGAGCAATCCAGGCTCCCGGCTGAACTGTGCATGCGCACACATGCGCAGTATGGCTGCCTCGCTCCCCTTTCAGTGGCTTTCATCTGATCGTGCCGGGGAGGAAGTGCGCGGCGGCTCAGGGGATCTATGTGATCCCGCCACTGCGTGTCTCTTTTGGTGCGGCTTTAAAAAGCTGCACTTTGCCCGTGCTTCCCCCCCCCCACCGTGTGGCAGGGGCCTAAGATGCTGGGTTTCATGGGATACAGTCCAACAGCAATTGTAAAAGATTGTTTAGGTCAATTTAGGTACACATTATTATAAAAACCCTTTACGTGACCAAGGTTTTGTATGTTTTGCTGAAGTTTTCAATACAGCTGTGTTTTAGAGCGGAGAATCTAACATGGACAAGTTACTGTGAATATCCTTTAACTGGTTACTTTGGATTAATTAATAAAGCCTATTGTATTCCACATTAAGTCTGCTGCAGCAAAAATAACTGTACAATCCGGGTGCACTCCTTTGGAGCTCCGATAGGAAAGCCCGTGACGCTGTCAGCAAGCTGCCATTATGTTGTATGTTTTGTTCTGCATGGTATACTGTACTCGATTCATGGGAGGGGTACCAGACGATTCTGGACCCCCGTGGAGTCCTTGGAGGGGACTCCAGGCCTGGGGCACAGGAGGTGCCTCTCCCAAGGCTGTGGCCAAGAGATCAAGGCTCCTCTTTGCCCCAATAGGTCCCGATAGGAGCAATCATGGCACCAAGAGGCGTACACTGGGCGAGCGAACAAGTGATCTAGTGAAAATGTAAAGTTTTCCCTACCTCCGCAGCCGACATGGAATGAAGCATGAGTGAAATTACCTTTTAACTGGTTATGTGGCCAAGCGCCCATCCGAAGCCCCGATCGGTAACGATGGAGGGGGAAGGAGTCTGCTCATCTCCCCACAACTTTAAATGAACTGTTTAAGCGATAAAGGGGGCTAGGAGATAACGGCGATTGTGGACTGAATCAAGTAAAGCACAGATTTAACTAAAGCGACTTTATAAATAAACTTTTAGTGACTTTAAAAAACTTTCCCGAACTGTTAACAATTACTAGTTGGGCAGAAAAGATGGAGACAAGCCTGAAGCACTCTCCTGGAACTACAAGATCAGCTCTTCTGGCTGCCAAACCAGAAGTTAATACTGACTTTCCCAATATGTTGGCTACAGCATTGCACCCTCTGTTAGATCAGATGACTAACTTCAATAATAACTTTGAACGCCTCCAAAAACAGTTGAAAGAAACTAATTTAAAAACAGAGAAGACAGCAAAATCAGTGAAAAACGTTGAAGCCAAGACAAAAGCAATTAAGCAACGACTGGAGGTAGTGGAGAAAGAGAGGACCTCTGACAAAGACCAGCTTTTAAGACTACAAATGGAAAAATCAGCTTTTGTTCTGAGATTTCAAGGTGTTCCTGGACAGAAGGGTGAGAATCTGAAGGAAATTTTAATTGAAGAGTTGGCCCCAATGACAGGTTTAACTGCGGATGTATTACAAATGGATATGATCTATGAGACATATCCAGAATTCATCAAGAAAAAAAACCTGCCTGGGGAGATAATGGTGAGATTCTCAAAAAGATCTACAAGAAATGTGGTGCTCAAGGCCACAAATGGGACAACCCTAAAAATCAAAGACGAAGAAATCAAAGTCATACCATTCGAAATAAGAAAGAAGAGGAAACAGTACAAAAGCTTAACCAACTTTTTGCAAAAAAATTCCACGCCATACAGATGGATTATACCTGAGAGACTTGTCTTCAACTACAAAGATTTAAAAAAAGATAGACTCTGTTTTAAAAGCGAAGATGTTTCTGGAAAT